ATTTTGCATATTTTATTAAAAGGTGTGAAAATGGCTCCAAATCGATCAAAACCATGGGCTATAGTCCATGCTTTTTGCCTGAAATTGGCCAAAAATGACCTAATTTGCATCCTTCCTGTAATTTGCATATTTTATTAAAAGGTTTGAAAATGGCCCAAAATCCATCAAAACCATGGGCTATAGTCCCTGCTTTTCGCCTCAAAATGCCCAAAAATTGCCTCTTTGGCATTTTCCATATATTTTGCATATTCTATTAAAAGGTGTGAAAATGGACCAAAATCGATCAAAAACATGGGCTATAGTCCATACTTTTTGCCCAAAAATGGCCAAAAATTGCCTCTTTTGCATTTTCCATATATTTTGCATATTCTATTAAAAGGTGTGAAAATGGCCAAAAATCGATCAAAACCATGGGCTATAGTCCATGCTTTTTGCCTGAAAATGCCCAAAAATTGCTTCTTTTGCATTTTCCATATGTTTTGTATATTTTATTAAAAGGTGTGAAAATGCCCCAAAATGCATCAAAACCATGTGCTATTGTCCATGCGTTTTAATAAAAGGTGTGAAAATCGCCCAAAATCGATCAACAACATGGGCTATAATCCATGCTCATTTCCTGAAAATGGGAAAAAATTCAGCAATGTCATGTGTATAGCACTAGATTTGCAACAAAGTAAAATGTAAAAGTATTATGGGAAATTTAATGTGAGAGTTCCTGGTGCAAAGATCTTGAAGAACATTAATGAATATTTTTTAATCAAGAAAGCAACTTTGAAACAATAATCATTAATGTGTATCATTAAGTCGTTATTAAATTTTTACATGTTAGCATTTACACTTACTTGAGTCATGCTTTAGTTCGATACAATGTATCTATCTATATGATATAAAGTCAGTTACTATTGCCTGAAAATTTCTAGTCCACTTCTTCTTTTCTTATCCCATACGTTTATTTTCATTTCATATACTTAGAATTAATTTAAGATTCTAATATTATCGTACTTTATTTTATTGATCTCGTCATTACTCTGTATATTTTTCCTTATTGAAATAACTCCTTCTTTTCTTGATCTCTTTCATGTAGTTTTATATTTGGATTGCTAACTGTGTAGTTTAACTTGACGTTATTACATATATGTCTTATATGAAACTTGTTTAATCTTTGCAAAAATTGCACTACAAATATATATACATTTTCATTCTCATTGCAATAATCAATGGCCTAACTAGTGTTTAAACTGGTTTCAAGACAGATCAATGTGACCCAAATGAAAGACCTTATCGGTTGCCAAGCTTGTGAATAATTAAAGTTATACATATACCAACCTGTGTACTTCCTAAGAACGCGCGCGCTCATTGGTTAATTAATTGGAGGTGAATATTTTACGACATTCACCTCTGATTCTCGGAATATTGAGTCGGCAACAAAATGGCATCTGCCTGCAATTGTTTTGCTACAATTTCCGATGAGGAAATTGAAAAAATGAAAGTAAATGCCATTCCTATCAATACTAAAAAGGCAACGAAGTATGGCCTAAACGTTTTGCTAAAAGTTTACTTAAAGTTTTGCGTGAATTTGTCACGCAAACTAAACGTTTCTGTTGTTTGTTTTTATCCATCACCAGTATGGAGTCCAGTACTTTGGTTCACTGTAATCTTAGTTCTTTCTCATTTCTCATACACTGATGGTGACATCATCAGCAATAAGAAAGAAAGGAGTCCAGTACTTTGGTTCACTGTAATCTTGGTTCTCTCTCATTTCTCATACACTGATGGTGACATCATCACCAATAAGAAAGAAAGGAGCCCAGTGCTTTGCTTCACTGTAATCTTGGTTCTCTCTCATTTCTCATACACTGATGGTGACAACATCACCAATACAAAAGAAAGGAGTCCAGTACTTTGGTTCACTGTAATCTTAGTTCTTTCTCATTTCTCATACACTGATGGTGACATCATCACCAATAAGAAAGAAAGGATCCCAGTACTTTGGGTCTTCAAAATCTTCTTCTCCTCTTATGTCATTTATGGCCATTCGTAGGCTTTTACTTGCACTTTCTCCCATCTTTAGAAACGTGTAAAAGCTTGTCATGAAATTTAATGTAGCCTCGTCATCAACGGCCCACAACGACGCTACAACAGCACGAGCTCCTGCAGCAAGAAAAGCTCGACTCATTCCAACCACTCCCTCTGCCTTGATGTCTCCACTACCACTGTGACAGCAGCTTAGGACAACAAGTTTTGCTGTAACACCAATCTCTTGTACCTCCTGCATTGTCAGCATGTAGTCCTCTTCTCCTGGGATACTTGTTGCATCTGTTCTTGGTGATGGGGCAAGGGCTATGTGTCCATGATCTGAGTCTCCATGTGCTGCAATATGAATGACAGCAACGCCCTCTTTCATCTTTTGTTTAACCATTTCCTTTGTCGCCAGCGATGCAATTAATGGCTCGGCACCCAATAGTCCTCCAATAATTCTGGCCTCGTGCTCTGCAGATGGAAGACGAGTGATGAAAGTCTTTTCCCCCCTTAGAACTACGTCTCCAACATCTGGGTCTCCAACTATGAGCGCGCCTGTTTTACTGTGGAAGTCAACAGKRCATTCTYKTAAACCTTTCAAAGTCGCTAGTGACGGCGAGAAACGAATACTCTTAGTTTCAGATAGGAATTTCTTTGTAACTGGATCTTTCAAAGCTGCAAATGGCACTCTGTACAAAGGTCCATCAGGAATGATGACGATCTCTTCGTGTTGGAGGTGTTGGATCACAGGGGTAATCAGCAAACTGAATAAGACCTCGAGTTGATCTTTGTTTTCCTCATTTACTTCCATCTGTGGTTCCCCAACTGGAACTACGTATCTTTCAACTGATTGAATCGGTGATTTCTTTGCTTGAATTTCGCTGACTTTGGGAAATTCAATTTCTTCTGCTGACTCAAGAGATCGGTTTTCGCATTTCCTAGTTTTGACTTCTTTCTCCAGCTGCAGTTCTTTGACTGCAGTCAATGCTTGGCTGTCAATGTTAACGCAAACTATGGGCCTCTGATGTGTTAACGCCCAAGCATGTCCTATTGCAAAGAAGAGAATGCAGAATTGATTACTTGATAAAACACTTTCTAGATCATTGCTTTCAAGTGGTTTTTGGCTAGGGTATCTTGCTTCTGTGATACCATACTTTGAAGCCAGAATATCTCCTAATGAACGTGCTCGCCCGCGATCGCTAATCAGCAAGGCTTCTTCTATCTTTCCGCGTTCAATCAGCACTTTCGAAAGCAGCTCGTAGGTGTTGATGTATGTATCGACAATGGATATCTTGAAGTCGTTTAGATCCCTTAAATGACTAAATTGCCATTCACAGCACTCCACAGCCTTCTTCAACTTTTCTTCCGCCTTTTCTTTTGCGTCTTCACTTTTCTCTTCAGAAGTCATTAGATGGTAGTATATCATTCCGAGGTCTGTGTTGGCCCATCCTGCAATACGCTTGTTCCCGATTTCCATTGCGATGTTAAGGCTCTTTTCTAAATACGTAATGGCTTCGTCAAAACTATCCAAATAAAAGTATGCCTTTCCTAAGTAATAATAAGCATATGCTTCTCCTCGCTTGTCTTTGAATGATGTGGCAATATTTAGGCTCGTTTCGAAGTAACCAAGAGCCTCTTTAGGTTGTTCTAAATTCAGGTAGACACCCCCAATGTAGCAATTAGCACTTCCCTCTCCCATCTTGTCACCAATTTCAATAGCGCAATCTCGGCAATCCTTGTGGTACTTAATTGCTAGCACATATTTCTTTGATTTTTGATAGATTACTCCCAAGTTGCCATAGCAGTTCATTTGCCTCTTTTTATCACCCGTTTCGATCGCGATTGCTAGACTCTTCTTAAGCTCTACCAGAGATTCTTGGGTTTTTCCAACAGAAAAATATACTCCTGAAAAGTGCAGATATGCTGCCCCTTCTCCCACTCTGCTTTTAATGTCTTTGAAGACTTTAAGACCTTTTTCAAAACATTCCATGGATTTGTGGTATTTGCTTTGTGCCCAGTAAAGGCCTCCCAAATCTAAGTAAGAAGCTGCCTCCCCATTTTTGTTACCGATGGCAATGGATATGTTCAAGCTTTTTAGATAACAGTTCATAGCCTGTTCGGAGTAGCCTGATGCAAGGTAAACTTTTCCCATGCTTGCGTAAATCGTACTTTCTCCGGCTCTGTCACCTGTTTCTTTTACAATCGCTAGACCCATTCTAAAATTATAAATGGCCTGCTTCAAATCACCTAAGTTGTCATAACAAATTCCGATGTTTGAATAGGCTACTCCTAAAAGATGCTTGTCATTCAATTGTGAAGCAATTTCTTGACTTTTTTTGGTATAGCAAATGCCTTCATTCCATTTACCCTGGCCTAAGTAGGCGCTCCCTAACAGGAAGTAACCACATCCCTCTAACTTCTTGTCTTCTAATTTGTTGCCAATTTGTAAGCAGTTTTCTGCACATTCTTTTATTTCGTTGCGGAAGTAGTTTAGTTTTACATAAAGGTTTCCAAGGTCCCAGTATGCACGTCCCTCAATCGCACTTATACCGAGGTGTTTTGAGATGTCGATGGCTTTTTTACAACACTCAATGGCTTTCTGGAGTTTGTATAACATTCCATATTTTCTCGCCATTAATAAATACACATTTGCCTCCATTTCGTTACCTTTTCGCTCTGAAACTTTCGACATCTTTAGATATTTTGAACACTCTTCAAAACAGTTTTTCCCTTGCAACTCACCAAGAAGCATGCTTAACTGAGCACCACAGAAGATGTCCCCAAAGTGGTCGGATATGGCTAGGCATTCGTTGTAAAGGCAGATTAACTCTTGATTTTCTAAGTTCAAGTATCCAAGATGTCCGTAGGAAATGCAAGTACGAACCAACAAACAAATCTTCTCGACGTTCATTTTGAAAGAATCGTTTTACTTCACTGGACTTAAGTGTCAGAAAGTTCTCGTTTTCTGAAAGGAAAAAGGATGAATCAGAGATCAGTTAAAAGGATCTTTGTACCACGGAACGATTAACCACGGATACTACTGTTATTAATTGAGGAATATACACCAATTTAAAAAGAAAAATGATTATCGGTGCAAAGTTAGTCGAGAACAAATAAGAATACTAACCGAAATGACTGCTGGTTTGTCTGGATTATCGATTTAAGTAAATGAGAGTTATTACATAAGGACAAATTAAAGTAGTAAAACATGCCCTCCAGGACTAAAATTTTTATGTATAAATTAAACTTTATTCAAATACGAACCCTGAAGGCAGAATTTGTAAAATAATATTAAGATAATGACTACTAAGTTCTCCGTGTCTCGAATCGATGATAACTAATGCCATCTATAAATCAAAATATATCGGATATCTGGAAGTTTAGAGACGTAGTAAATAGATGGTCATCATTCTGTCTGCCGAGTTTGGAGAAAAACTATCAAGAGCAAGTAGGTGGCAGCAAAAAGGGCCGGAAAAAATAGCATTACAAAAAATTGTCTCGATAGATTGTCTCCAAACTCGGCAGACAGAATGAAAAAACCACTGTTGGTCTGAAATAGGCCGGCAAACCCGACTCAAAAATAACATTTCGAATTCACCTTCAAAAGCCTAAATATTTGAGCCTAAATATTTCAGAAGTATCCCAATATTTTTGAAGCGATACGGTATAATTCACTTTAAAAAACGTTTTCTCCGAAGTTTGGATAGGACAAGTTGTAGAAAATTCACTATAATCTAGATAAAGTTCTGGGCCATTGACGTAGGAAATTTAAAGAAAAAACTTGATGTCGTTTTGAAGAAAATGGCGAAAATCTCATATTTCATTAGTAAATCATTCTTTATTTATCAAGTTTTTAAAAGTTGATGCTGATTTTTCCAAAGGTTCCTCCGCAATACTTGGAAATAGATACGTGAAAACTTCAGTCAAAGCAATCCATTCAATGGTAATGTTCCTACAGCGCGATGTTTCAAATTTTGGGTCGAATTATCAAGCAGCGTCATAACTTTTTTTCTGCCCAAGACTTTCTATCCAAATTTATACACAGGCTGCAATAGTACTAGATGATAACATTCTGAAAATTTCAGAAAAAATTACCTGAGGATGAGTAGAAAAAAGCCAAAAACTAAAAAATAATACTGTTTGATTTTCAATTCGGCCGTAAAAAGCTAAACACTTAGAAAATCTTAAAATAAAATACACCGTTACAATCTAGCATTATTAAAGTACAAAAAATAAAAAAAAAAGGTTAAATTGAAGCACTAGTTTTGCGAGTGAAGTAAGGAAGAATAAAAGTGTCCAAAATTCGCTAATACACACTACTCTAAAACTTTCAAAAATGCTGTTCAATCCTTTYCGTGCCTCCAAAATATACTTTATAATATCACAAGTCTCTGCAAAATTTCAACAACAAAAAATCAGAAAAATTTACCTGAGGATGAGGAGAAAAAAGCCAAAAACTAAAATCAGTTCTGTTTGATTTTCAATTCGGCCGTAAAAGGCTAAACACTTAGAAAATCTTAAAATAAAATACACCGTTAGAATCTAGCATTATTAAAGTACAACATATGAGAAATTTAGTTAAACTGACGCACTAGTTTTGCGACTGAAGCGAGCGAGAATAAAATTGATAAAAATTCGCTAGCAGTCGCTACTCTAAAACTTTCAAAAATGCTGTTCATTCATTTTCTTGCCTCCAAAATATACTTTATAATATCACCAATCTCTGCAAAATTTCCAGGAGAATAAACCAGTAATTTAAATTGGTGTTGAAATTTCACATTAATTCATTCTCAAATATCATGAAATATTATTTTTAGGTCATAGAATAAGGACGAATCTTACCTTTTAGCGAAGCGACATTTCTGACTCAATAGACAGTTATGCATAAATGTGCATAAATTGGTTGCGCAGACGTTTTAGAGTTCTTGGAATTATGATGAAAGCTATTAATAAACGATCATCCTCCGCCACCCCAACCTTCCCTCCCCTCCCCCCCACCCCTCCCCAACGCCTCGTGATTGGGGTAGCGAATAATCGTCTATTTATGTCTTTTATCATAATTTCAAGAACTCTGAAACATCTGTGCAACCAATTCATGCAAAATGGACAAGGTAAATATGTTGAGTGTTTTTACTTAAAAAGTTTCGACAGTAACCTGTGGTTTTTAGGGTGGCCCACAAGGGCAAAACAAAATTCAATTGGACGGGAAACAAAATAAAAACAACGTTTTGCAAAACACAACAACGTTTCGGGGAACACAATGAAATCTCACAGAACACAACAATGTTTCTGGAAACAAAGTAAAGTCTTAATGGAATGGAACCTAGCGCGGAGCAACGAGATGACTGGAGACTGGGCTCTACGGCTAGCGATTATCGATTAATTCCAACTCTTTGGACTCTTTCAACCAGCCATGTTTTGTCCTTGTGGCTCAACCGTAAAAACCACAAGTTACTGTCCAAAATTTGTAAGTAAAACTACTCAACATATTTACGTTGTCCATTCTGAGAACACGAGTACAAAACATTTTGCTCATGATATATATTGTTGCACAAAATTCTGAGTTTGATAAAGATGAGCAACAGGAATGGCTTTAATCAAAGAAGACTTAAAAACAACACTCCATCGCAATTTCTTGGAATATCACCAAGTCATCTTAGATTTCTTATCATGCATCATTTTAGATTTTCGAAAAAAACATGTGTTGATGGCCGAAGCTGAGCGATCGTGCCTTCTTAGACTCATTTGCATAAACCCAAAATGATTGACGGCTCGGAAAAGAGCAAAATCCAATAAAGGTTTTGAATAGAATAAGGACGAATCTTACCTTTTAGCGAAGCGACAATTCTGACTCAATAGACAGTTATGCATAAATGTGCATAAATTGGTTGCGCAGACGTTTTAGAGTTCTTGGAATTATGATGAAAGCCATGCATAAATAAACGATCATCCTCTGCTACCCCAACCCACTTTACTTTAAAAAACGTTTTCTCCGAAGTTTGGATAGGACAAGTTGTAGAAAATTCACTACAATCTAGATAAAGTTCTGGGCCATTGACGTAGGAAATTTAAAGAAAAAACTTGATGTCGTTTTGAAGAAAATGGCGAAAATCTCATATTTCATTAGTAAATCATTCTTTATTTATCAAGTTTTTAAAAGTTGATGCTGATTTTTCCAAAGGTTTATCCGCAATACTTGGAAAAGGATACGTGAAAACTTCAGTCAAAGCAATCCATTCAATGGTAATGTTTCTACAGCGTCATAACTTTTTTTCTGCCCTTGAATTTACGTTCAAATTTATGCACAGGCTGCATTAGTACTTGATGATAATCTGAAAATTTCAGAAAAACGTACCTGAGGATGAGTAGAAAAAAGCCAAAAACCAAAAAATACTACTGTTTGATTTTCAATTCGGCCGTAAAAGGCTAAACACTTAGAAAATCTAAAGATAAAATACACCGTTACAATCTAGCATTATTTAAAGTACAACATATGAAAAATTTAGTTAAATTGACGCACTAGTTTTGCGACTGAAGCGAGCGAGAATAAAATTGATAAAAATTCGCTAGCAGTCGCTACTCTAAAACTTTCAAAATTGCTGTTCAATCATTTTCGTGCCTCCAAAATATACTTTATAATATCCCAAATCTCTTTCTTACCTTTTAGCGAAGCGAAATTTCTGAAATTTCGAAGGGGAATAAACCAGTAATTGAAATTGGTATTGAAACTTCACATTAATTGTTGTGTTCTGCGAGATTTTATTTTGTTCTGCGAATTGAAAGATTGTTGTGTTCTGCGAAACGTTGTTGTGTTCTGCGAGATTTTATTTTGTTTCCCTTCCAATTGAATTTTGTTTGCCCTTGTGGGCCACCGTAAAAACCACAGGTTACTGTCGAAACTTTTTAAGTAAAAACACTCAACATATTTACCTCTTCTATTCTGAGAACCGTACAAATCATTTTGCTCAAGCCATGATAAATATTGCAGCAAAAAAAAATGAGTTTGATAAGGGGATATAAGGATTGGTCGATAGACGATGTATTTGATATCTCGGAAAAAGGAGTTTCATATAGAGCGTCTTCACTCACGTGAGAAGGCAGCCATTAACAATAGAAACTTTCTAAACAGTATTTGCATAAAAATAGAGTGCAATTCCCGGAGGATAGAAAACGTATTGTTTTGGTACCCCATAATGTCCGCTGTGACATCACGTGAAAACGCTCTATATGACAGAATATTGAAGTCGAGACTTAAATATCTAGCATAATGGACGAGGAGGAATCCAATAGGTGTTTTATTATATCAAACAAATATTTTTTTCAATAAAAAGACCACTATAGTGCCATAATAGTGTCTTTTTACTCCGACGAAGGACTAGCGTCCGAAACGTCAATAAGTTTTTTCATTTTTTCACGGTGTATAATTTACCCTTTTATCATTACTGTTTCATGAGAAACACCGACGCAGCTCACACTAGTTTTTAGCTAGTTATATCTTCTTAACAAGAAGTTTGTTTGCAGTCCAATAGGTTGCTGCGTGACTAAAATATTTCAAAATTAAAATTAATTTTATTTATCTCTGCAAGCGGCACAAATCGACAAAACGTGCGCGTGTGTGCGTGCGTGTTATGTTCACCTTTAGGTGAATATAACAGCATAAGACGTAAATTGTGACCAACAAGGGGGGGGGGGGGGGAGGTATATACACTTGTGTAGAAATACTAAAACATATCATGATTAGACTTTTGAAGGTTTTTCTCTGTCGAAATGATGAGAAAAGGATGCAGGGAGTCGAGTTCATTTAGACAGATTTGCATTGATTTACTTCGCGGTTCCTATCATGTTTAAGAAGTGCCAAGCGATTCCAAAGGACATTTTATGAACAGAAGCCAATTTAAGAACAAAAGTGAACTAGGGGTGCTAGAATATCAGTACACTTTGAAAAATTTTTTAGGACTTTGTTGACATTCAGTATATTTTCACTCAGGCGCTGTTTAAGACTATAACTATTGTTCTGCACCAACTAGCAACTGACTAGCCTCGTTTTCACATGTATGAGAGGCTAGTCAGTCGCTAGTCAGCGCAGAACAATAGTCATTTAAATTGGTCGTCACTCATATTTCGATTCGGTGTAAAAGTCTGATTAAGATTTAGGCGATACAAGGGAGAGAATGCAATTTAGATGAAAACTGTTTAATTGATCATCCATGGTAATCTCCTAGATTTTCAACGGCTTTTTTTGTTACGCAACGTCTTCACGATTAGCATCAAAGTCAAATTATTCATTACCTTAAGCAAGAGCCAACTATGAAAATTTAATGTGAGATTTGATGGTGCAAACATCTGGAAAGTCTTGATGAAGAATTTAAAAAAAAATCAAAAAAGCAATATTCAAACAACAACTATTTTTGTCTATTCTTAAATCGTATAAAAAGATTACTTAATTTATGTATTAACACCGATTACAGTTATGTGAAATCTATGCTTTAGTACGATACAGTGTACATATCTATATTATATGAATTTATTTACTATTTACTTAAATTTCCTAGCTCATTTCTTCATTTTTCATCCCATACGCTACTTCATTTCCTTCTACAAAATAAACAGTTCAATACAAGGATGTGGTATTATTCTTGCAGATCATAGTTTTCCATGTTAGCGTGCTCAGACCAAGCAGAATACTGAGCACCATCCATTTCAGTAGCTACTTCATTCCCTTCTGCAAAAGAAACAGTTAAATACAAGGATGTGGTATTATTCTTGTAGATCATAGTTTTCCATGTTAGCTTGCTCAGACCAAGCAGAATGTCGAGCACCATCCATTTCAGTAGCTACTTCATTCCCTTCTGCAAGCCTGTGAGAGGCTCCTCCTATAACATCGTGACACTCCGGGCACGATCCTGTTTCCATGGCACCGCCACAGTCACCAATAGCATAAACATGTCCCTGACGACACTTATACCAATGACCTTTGGACAGCCCCATGGCTCTGATTATTTGGTCTTTCTCTTCACGTGTTGGCGGATCCATAGGATACTTAAAGCGAATTTCTCGTATTTTCTTTAAATCTTCTTCTAAATCTAGCTCCTCGATTTTAGAGCTCTGAGATAATTGTATTCCAATTCGATCTACATGCTCTTTTTCCTCGGGGTCGAAATTGATATTCAGTGCTTCGGCTTCCTTCAAGAGGCTGCATAACTTGAGGCGTAGGCTTTGCCTGCTTATTTCAAGATCAATATCTCTCAGCTCGCGATCAACATCACTACCAATAATTCTTTCTTTCTTTAAGAAATTCAAGATGGAAAGGATATCTGTTACGATGGTGTCCGTCGTATCCAGCATCATCTTTGATTTTTCAAGAACTTTTTCACAACGTTCCAAAAGCTGAACTTGGTTTTCCAGGTTCGTCAACTCAAAACTAGTTTCACATTTTGTAATGCATTTCTCCAGAAACTCGCATTTTTGTTTGTGCCTTACGTCACCTGACTTTGTTGCTACGTCATTGATGTACCTTCGTATTTTCTTTAGCAGTTCTTCTCTCCTTGGGACTACAGTTTGTTGGTCAGCAAGTATAACTTCCTTGACTTTCTCGACGTCTTTCATGTGTTTCTTGATGACGGAGTTGTAGCGCAATGTCGTTCTAATTGCCTTTTTACAGATTGGACAAGCCTGAAAATAATGCAAATAACACAAACTCACTAAATATTATAATATCGTGGAGGAATATTCCTTCTTCACACAAAACAGGTTTTAAGCTTTAAAAAGCATAAACAGGCAATAAGGAACGCATGGAAAATCTTACTATTCTTCACCAAAACTAATTCGATCTGTCGGCGTTATCGAGTGGATTCCATAGAGTGGTAAATCCAATAATGTTTACTGGCAAATAATGTCTGGAATCACTTAGTTCTAAGTATACCTTCATCTGGACCGCTGTTTTCTCTTCTGAATCGCTATTCTTCGTGTCCACCCATTGATCAATCCCGCCAACCTCGAAAATGTGCTTGCAGTCTCTCAATCGAAGGAATCTTACAGATTTATCTTCAAAACCTTCTGTTCCGAAGATTTCTTGTATGTCATCTTTATGACATTTAATGCATACACAGGTTTCTTCGCACAGCCCTCGGCATTTGTGACCACATTCTTGAATTATCTTATAGCAAGGCTTGTCGCAGCGTTGTCTTTCACAAACCTCTCCACACTTCTTTTCACACTTCAAGTGTTTACACTTCCATTTACATCCATATTGACAAGGAACGCAAAGTTCTCCACATTTTTTATCGCATTTACTGTGTTTACATCTGTTTTCACAGTCTCGTGAACATGGGGGGCAAGCATAATTGGTCGTGCAAGTAGCTCGACAATGATGGCCACAGACAAGTACTCTGCCGCATATCTTCTTGCATCGCCGATGGACCCTTCCTTGCAGACACTCACCACAACTCCCTGAGCATTCATGACCACAGCAAAGTACGTCACAAGGACCGCGACAGTGAAGAGGACTAGCTGAACAAGCTATTGTAACTTCATGTCCACAAGGCCAGTTGCGCTTCACAAGCTCTTTACATGATGACGTGCAAGGTTCGCCACATCTTGCTTGGCATCGATGACCACATTCGAGAAAATTAGGGCATCTTTCATCACACTTCACATCATAGAGATTGTCACTGCATCGAGCATTCTTCTTGACATGGTTACATGGAAGTATTTTGTCAACAGGTTCCTCACATTTAAGTTCACAAGGTTCCCAACATTTCTTTTTGCAAAGATGACCTTCAGTACAGCCTGGAATTATTTTTACGCATCGTTCGATGCATCTAAAAATATAATAATTTCTAATTCAACTTTTGAAAGATTTATTGGATAAAATGAAAACATTGCATCTTGGACGGACGTTAAAGTTTGGAAATAATGGACATATATTTAGAGTGGAACAATGGCGCGCACTAAAGTTACCCCTCTTTTTATCATTGCTCCCTTTTAGGGTTGAACTATGGACACTAACTAACGAGGATCAAATTATCGACCTCTTGCTTAGCAGGCAGCACACTAACCAAGCCCTACTTGCTTCTAGTAAAACAAGTGTGTGAGGTCACTTAGGATCAAACTATGGACCTCTTGCTTAGCAGGCAGCATACTAACCAACCAAGCCACACTTGCTCCTTAAAACAAGTGTGTGAGGTCACTGAGGATCAAACTATGGACCTCTTGCTTAGCAGGCAGCACACTAACCAAGCCCTACTTGCTTCTAGTAAAACAAGTGTGTGAGGTCACTTAGCAGCATACTAACCAACCAAGCCACACTTGTTCCTTAAAACAAATGTGCGAGGTCACTAAGGATCAAACTATGGACTTCTTGCTTAGCAGGTAGCACACTAACCAACCAAGCCACACTTGCTCCTTAAAACAAGTGTATGAGTTCCCTGGAGGTATAACTATGTACATTTTGGCAGCCTACTTCATACCAACTGTGCAACACTAAATCATTTAAAAGAAAGTAAAATTAAATACTACGATGCGCCTATACCAACCAACATTTGTAAACATTTCAGGAACTCTATATACTTACTTAAAATTCCTGTGTTTTTGGTCGTTAGGATGGCACAACTTTGTACAGGCATGTCCACACTCTAGTCGGGCTTCACAAGGCAGCTTGCATCCACCATCTGGTACCATTTCCAGGAAATCTTTGGGTTCCTTTACGAGCACCTAAAAATTGTATAAAATTCCTTAGTGCCAAGTTTTCATATAAGGCTTTTTCATATATTAAAGCTCTCGGGAGTTGGTAGAGGAATGCAGCATAATAGACAATTTTTTATAATACTAGCTTTGTTTGTTTGATACGCGCGATCTTTCACACAGTCGTTTTTTAGTTTTTATAAAATCAGTCTTATCCTTTTTTTAGTACCTTGTCTTTATGGCTTTCACAGACTAATGGCAATGCGTCTCCAATTTGATTCTTTTCCTTCAAGTCATTGACAACATTTTTCCAAATATCGCTTTTTTCGGATAGAAGTTCAAAGTTTCCAATGACGTAGAGACCCATACGAGCACGCGATAATGCCACGCATGCTCTGTTGATGTCATTGACGAATCCCACGTGACCAGTGTCGTTGCTACGCACCAAGGATAACAGGATGATGTCATTCTCTTCACCCTGGTAGTTGTCTATGGTCGT